AAACTGAGGTTTTATCGTTTAATGTGGATTGATCAAGAAAGTCCAGCTGCTCACATGGTTTCTATGGGGATCAGAGTAGCCAACCCGCTTTTATAATAATAATAATAATAATAATATTAGTAATAATACATTACATTAAATCATATTAAATAATTAAATGGAATAAAATAAAAATAGCTGAAAATAAAAAATATATTAAAATAATGATGTGCGTTTTTGTACTGTTTGCTTGGTCTACTCTCATCCTTCTCTTTATCAGAAATATGTGGCCCTACATAACCTCCCTTAGTATAACAACATGGTTGCACATTTATTGGAAAAAAGCAATATGTTTCTATCATCTTATGTTTGGTTGGTTTTGTTTGTTGTGTTCTGTCTAATATATTCTTTATTGTACATTATTTCTTTCTTTTTCTGTATCGAGTATCACTACTACATGTGCCTCTCTCACCAATAGCAATAAATAAAACAAAAATAAATAATACACACAAGCATAAAAAAGGATGTTCCTAATGTGTTTTAAGCTAAGTGTTTAAAAAAGCCCTCAACCATGATTCTAACAAGCATTTCTCATTTTTTAAGTGCATGTGTACATGTGTTGGTGTGCAAATCATTAGAGTCCTCGCCTCATGACGCTGCTTATAAAGTAAGGTGAAGTGGCCACTTATGGATGTAGAGGCTGATGGCAAATGGCTGCGACCTTGGCTACAGGGTATTGGGGAGATTGTTGTCAGTTGTAAAGCTGCAACCTTGTGTTCACATCAGAAAGCAAAAGTCCCATGATTGTATACAAGAAGATCGTTATCAGGTCTGCTTCTGCGGTAAAATGTCTCAACACTGAGCTCATGAATAACCCTTATTTGAACATTCCCGATGTATTTCCATGGAAACAGATCGTACTCGTACTTTCCAGAAAAAAACAACAGTAAATTACAAAAAGTAATTACATGCTTCAGCATCCTCTAAAAATTCACATTTTCCCACCAAGAACGTGTCAAACATTGTGTTCTTGTTATACTTTGATATATAATAGCTGTATATGGTATAAGGAAAGTTATGAAAGACCTAATATTTGTTTTCCCCATGTAAAGCTTTTTGAGCATCTTATTCATCATATTAGGTTTGATGTTAATAGACTAATGTGTCTCATTTTCTGACAGAATGTGTAACTAAGACCAACATTTAGAAAGGGAATTTATCTTTCCCTTTTCTTCGAAGTGATTTCTACTTCAGTGGCAACGTTTTTGTTCAACTGTTTAACAATATCCTATAGTAAATACAAGTCAATTTCATCCTCTGCTTTAATGTGTATATGAGGAGAGCTGAGAGGGTGGTTACTATATACAGTTAAGTAGCTCTCTTTATGCCGTTTTCATTCTGATATACTTTTATAATCATATGCTGTCAGATGTGGTTTCCAATGCTGAAGGACATTATTTGGTACAAAAGGTCACCAAGCTGTAAAAGTGTGGCTTTCTTGGCAAAAATACAAATCCATTGCTTGCATGGAAAACATAGTGAGTTTTGCAAAATGAGCACAATGCAACAGCTTCTCACAAAGATAAATAACTTGATTACTTTTTATTTCAACAATGTATATAAGAGAAATATTTTTAATTAAATGTGCATTTTCCTTATTTTGTCATCAAAGATGACATAGTAAGCTAATGTTCATGTTCACATCTGTATTTCATACCTTTACTGTGACATGTCTCCATGATTTGATCAAAAAGCTCCTTAGCCTATCATGTAACAATGTGCTGGAGTGCTAGCCAAGTGTGCGTGGGAGAGAAACTCCCTCTGGAGGGAACATAGGAATTTTAGTCTTTGCAGACCATTTACATGCACAAAAACCTATATAACACACTACAGGAGAGAGTCAACCCAAAAAAGCATTATAGGGATTCTTTAATAATTAATGAAAGTTTGCCGACAGAAAAATAGGTTACCTTTAAACAAAAATCCACTGGCTATTGGGAAGAAATGACGGCATGTAAATCAGATCCAGAATTATATATGTGTCTGTGTGTGTGCATAAATAGGACAATTGCATATGTACGCACCCACACGCATGCTTGTGAATGCCCAGTCACAATTACTTACAATCACAGCCATTTAGTCATGAATGTTTATATGAATGCATGTATGCTGAACTCTGTTCATGATGTCAGTGTTTCTAAATAAATATGTTTATGCTGGTTTAACAACTTTCACTTTAACCAGCCTGAAGAAGAGTGGGGCTTTCAGTCTTTTCACTCAACAAAGTGTATTGAAATAGTAGTGCACTACTATTGAAACAAACTAAGCCCTCTCTCAAGGGAATACAGAATTAAAGGGAAGCTTTTCAAATGTAGTGGAGCCTGACTCAATACCCATCTCTGTACTAGGATTTATATCATTAATATAAACTACAGCCCAATAATTTCCAGTGCTTTATGAAACAAGGACAGAATACAGTTAGCTTTACTAATACTTTAAAAAAGCTGTAGTTACAGGAAAAAAGCATGAAAAAAATACATATAGCTAATTTTCAACTAAGCTATCATTTTGTATTATTAATAGGCATGTATTTTATTTTGTTGTTACCACTATCCGGGTAGTTAGTAAAGCCACTGTTTAGTATGGTTGACATCGAGAGGGACTGTAGGTCAGTTTGACTCTCCATTTTTTGGGGGAGATGCAGAAACTTCCAAAAAATCGGATTCTGCTTCAATTTGAAGAAAGACACCTAAGGAGGCAGGGCCGGTTCTGACCAATTTTCTGCCCTAGGCGAGATTTTAGCAGGTGCCTGATAAGCCAACATCCCCCACTTTCATCACTTACAGCGCCCATCGTACAGGGCAAATGGAATGTGTAACCGGGGTGAAAAGGGTACCCCCCCCAAAGCAGTTAACCTAGGGGAAACACTGTATAGTATATTATAGTTTAGAGTATATGATATAGTATACTATAGTTTTGTACAGTAGCGTTGCATCGTATAGTGTAGTATGGAATAGTATAGCATAGTATAGAAAAATAAAATGTATGGTAATGTGGTATAGCATTATAGAAAACCTAGTATATTATAGTATAGTAAAACACGGCATAGTACAGTACAATATATTGTAGTATAATATGGTATAGTTCAGCATGGTATAGTTTAGTTTGGTATAGTCTAGTAAAGTATAGTATGTAACAATACAGGGTAGAGAGGCGTAGTAAGGTTTATTCTAGTAAGGTATAGTGTAGTAATTTAAATGTTATAGTATATTAAAGTATATAGAATACTTCAGTACAGTATAGCATGTTATGACTATACATCAAGCTCAACAACATGAAATCCTAAATTACTTAAAACAAACCAGAATTGACAGTGCTGTTCAACCATGAAAAACCAGAGAAAATGAGTCTTTGATAGCTTTCAACAACCACTTTAGATAAATAGCAGTTGCTCTGAGAGGAGAAACAACAATCAACACTAATCTCAAACTAATTGCCAGTAAAATATCGATACTCGGCAATGTGGAATGGATTTGGCCCAGTCTATTAAGTCCTGTAATCAGGGGGTGAGTCATGTACACAGTAGGCATCAAGAAGACTGTTGACTTTCTCTGATGTTGCCTATTATTACATAAGGGTTTCTTGTATTTATTAATTTACATATTTGTCATGGTATGATTATCTGTGGGGTGTGTACACAGTGCTGCAAGACACAGCCCAAGAAGTGACTCTCCCCTTCCGACGTCATTCCTGATAGACTTCCAGTTTCAGTTAAAAAAATCCTTGATCAATGTCTTAAGTGTTTAAATCAGACATAATTGTTAACTGTAAAATATTACATTCATCTGTTGTCACGTTCCAGTGAACAGATTAGAAATAACGCTTCATTTTTGTACTTTTTTGCAATATTTGTACGAATTCTTTTCACATCACGACAGCAATAGAATAAAATTGAATGCTTTGACACAAAAAACAAAATAAATCGGATATCCCCTATAAGACTTCCTTTTCTGTCGCTGCCCAATATTTAAAGTTTAATTGGCAACTTGAAACTGAAGACTGGAGTTGCGATACAACTTCTAAGCTCGGTAAAGTCAGAAAGATATTGATAAATGCAGGTATAGGCATATGGAATATTTTCTATCAGAAAAACTAAATAAATAAAAAAAACTGTAATTTCCCCTTACTTGTTGATGTGGTAAAACCAAGACCACTAATGTGTGAAGTGAGTTTGGTAGCACTGTAGACGGTCCCTGCGCATTCGTCTCTCCTTCGGCTGCAAATTGAGAACAATGCAAGTTGTCCAGCTCTGAAAACTGCGCGTTTTGGCTTGTTTTAAAATAAAAATTAGGTTTTAACTCATTCGTCTAACTGTTGTTAATAGACGTCTTTTGTTATCGATCCTCGAATCAGTCAATTTCTCAACTTTCCCAAACTAAGTGTGACCTGAACGTCTTGCAGCTCTGTCCATGGTTCTGGAAAGTTATTGAAAAAATAAATCCCAATTTTACAGAAATAGCTCTTTGTTGTCCCCGTGATCGTGAATAATTGATCTCGCACCGCCGTTCCGTGCTGACATTTGCTCACATGTCCCGGGGTAAGCGCGAACAGGAGCATGAATACCTCATCAGAAGAAAGAGAAAGGTCAAGTCTTATTGATTTCCCTATGCAAACGCGCTCTATTTTGTCGAAATCAAACCTCCAAAGTTGGACTCAGGTCATTCTCATCTTCCTCTTCATTCGACTTGTATTATGCAGGCTGAAATGAGATAATAGTCTGGATAGTAGTAGCTCTAGCAAAATAGAAGTATATTTAGTGATAAATGTACAGAGGCTGTAAATGCTTCTGTATGTTGGTGGTCAATCAGCGGTGCGTAAAACGCGCGCTCAGGGGTGGGGACTCCTTTGGAGAGGCAGGACCAGAGAGTAAAACAGGACGAGTCTGCATCCACAGGTTGCCGCGCGCCTCTCTCCTCCTCTCAGTGAATCTTTAGATTGCTGACAGTGGAGGAGAACCGTTTTGGACTTGGGCTGCATATAATCTCATTAGCAAAATGCCACATCAACCGCCTCGGGACAACTCCATATATAAGAATGTAATCTTATTGCGCTGTACTTTTCTGTCGTAAAAAAAAAACACCTGTTTATTCCGAGGACGGTGCGTTTTTATTCCTGAACACCATGCCACCTCACATGAGCTGCACCACGCTGACAACAGCTACATAATGGCATGTAGGAGCGGCTCCGGTCCAATAAACGAGGATAACGCAAGGTTCCTGCTGCTGGCATTGTTCATCATCATCTATCTCCTCTGTGGGGCCGCAGTCTTCTCCGCGCTGGAGCAGCCAAAAGAGCGAGAGGCGAACGAGCGCTGGGAGCAGAGGTTCGAGCATTTCAGCCAGAAGTACAACCTGAGTAAGAAAGACCTAAACAACTTCCTGAGGAACTACGAGGAGGCGAACGTGGCGGGGATCCGCGTGGACACAATCCGACCTCGATGGGACTTCACCGGCGCGTTTTATTTCGTGGGGACGGTGGTGTCAACAATTGGTGAGATGGAGAAAAGTCGCGTTTTAAAACAGTGATTTTGCGATTTTCTCTGTCAGCTCTATCATCTTTTTATTGAAATTATTTTAAAATCCACTATTTAGTATCTCCATAATCTTCATAAAGTCCTTGTTTGCAAGAAACTATCTTAAATATCACAGCTACTCGCTCTCCACGAGCCAAAATAAAAATGAATGTAAATAGAAATGTACCCCCTTAATGTATTTCAGGATGTTCAAAGCCCAGTTATCTGATGTTTTAATTGTTATAGAAGCATAAATACTGGCCCAACAAAGAGCCAGCATACACACTATTTCTGGAACAAGCACACCTGATTATAATTAAGCCGTAATTAGAGACATGAGTTGCACCTGTGACAAGTCGAAATCCTGATTTGCATTCAATTAGGACCTCCACTTTTCTCTTATCTGTTTGTGTAGGTTTATTTAGTCCTAAGAGATATACTTCAAGTTATTCTTTATAGTAACATCGCTGTGTAATATTTATTGGCCATGACGTGTGATTTGATCCAGTATAGGTTCAACTGAACAAGGCTAGGAAAAAGGCAATTTAGAGCAAGATTTGTCCTTGACAACTGTTTTTTCCATTTCAGACTGCTTCTGAGAGTCAGTATTTCATAAACAGTAAAGCCATATTCCCCTAACCAATAGCACTGTTAAACGATAGCCCTGTTGATATTCTGTTGTCGATATCATGGATTTGATCCTACCCTACACTCTCAATGTTTTTTTCCCTCATTAGCTAATCAGTAGTCATCTTCACCTGTAATTGGAGTGAGTTGTTTCATGATTATTGACAGTTTGACAGATTGATTATTGGCATTAGTTATGTTAATAATGGTCCAGACTGTTCTTAACTGAACACATTGTGATTAATGTTGGTCTAAAAAAAGTGATCTCCATATTGATCTGATGATTCACCTGTGATTACTAAAATACCAGGGAAAAAAGGAAGACAATGATTGTTTGTAACCTCATTATCAGCTTTTGGAGGATGTATACAGCCCCTCATCGAGAGCACTTTTTGCATCAACAACCCAAACCTGACTCGCGCCCTGACAAAAAGAGGTGATAGGCACCAAAGCTACTTCCAATATACACTGAACAAAAATATAAATGCAACACTTTTGTTTTTGCTCCCATTTTTCATGAGATGAACTCAAAGATCTAAAACATTTTCTATATACACAAAATAACCATTTCTCTCAAATATTGTTCACAAATCTGAAAAAATCTGTGATAGTGAGCACTTCTCCTTTGCCGAGATAATCCATCCCACCTCACAGGTGTGGCATATCAAGATGCTGATTAGACAGCATGATTATTGCACAGGTGTGCCTTAGGCTGGCCACAATAAAAGGCCACTCTGAAACGTGCAGTTTGGCTTTATTGGGGGGGTCTGGGGGGGTCCGAAAACCAGTCAGTATCTGGTGTGACCACCATTTGCCTCACGCAGTGCAACACATCTCCTTCGCATAGAGTTGATCAGGTTGTTGATTGTGGCCTGTGGAATGTTGGTCCACTCCTCTTCAATGGCTGTGCGAAGTTGCTGGATATTGGCAGGAACTGGAACACGCTGTCGTATACGCCGATCCAGAGCATCCCAAACATGCTCAATAGGTGACATGTCTGGTGAGTATGCTGGCCATGCAAGAACTGGGATGTTTTCAGCCTCCAGGAATTGTGTACAGATCCTTGCAACATGGGGCCGTGCATTATCATGCTGCAACATGAGGTGATGGTCGTGGATGAATGGCACAACAATGGGCTTCAGGATCTCGTCACGGTATCTCTGTGCATTCTCAATGCCATCAATAAAATGCACCTGTGTTCGTCGTCCATAACATACGCCTGCCCATACCATAACCCCTCCACCACCATGGGCCACTCGATTCACAAGATTGACATCAGAAAACCGCTCACCCACACGACGCCACACACGCTGTCTGCCATCTGCCCTGAACAGTGAAAACCGGGATTCATCCGTGAAGAGAACACCTCTCCAACGTGCCAGACGCCATCGAATGTGAGCATTTGCCCACTCAAGTCGGTTACGACGACGAACCGGAGTCAGGTCGAGACCCCGATGAGGACGACGAGCATGCAGATGAGCTTCCCTGAGACGGTTTCTGACAGTTTGTGCAGAAATTCTTTGGTTATGCAAACCGATTGTTGCAGCAGCTGTCCGAGTGGCTGGTCTCAGAAGATCTTGGAGGTGAACATGCTGGATGTGGAGGTCCTGGGCTGGTGTGGTTACACGTGGTCTGCGGTTGTGAGGCCGGTTGGATGTACTGCCAAATTCTCTGAAACGCCTTTGGAGACGGCTTATGGTAGAGAAATTAACATTCAATTCACGGGCAACAGCTCTGGTGGACATTCCTGCTGTCAGCATGCCAATTGCACGCTCCCTCAAAACTTGCGACATCTGTGGCATTGTGCTGTGTGATAAAACTGAACATTTTAGAGTGGCCTTTATTGTGGCCAGCCTAAGGCACACCTGTGCAATAATCATGCTGTCTAATCAGCATCTTGATATGCCACACCTGTGAGGTGGGATGGATTATCTCGGCAAAGGAGAAGTGCTCACTATCACAGATTTTTTCAGATTTGTGAACAATATTTGAGAGAAATAGTTATTTTGTGTATATAGAAAATGTTTTAGTTCTTTGAGTTCATCTCATGAAAAATGGGAGCAAAAACAAAGGTGTTGCATTTATATTTTTGTTCAGTGTAAATACATTGTTTTTAAAATCATTCTATGTGACAAAAATAGTGTTGGTGTACACAAATCAATAGATTACATTTTGTGACTATAACACGAAATGGCTTCAGAGATTTAATAGATACATGGAAGAGAAGCCTTCAAGAGAGCATTGCAGCCTTTCATGTTTATGCATAACATATGCACATCATGTTCTCGTGCAGACTTTCACTGACGTGGAGTCTTCAGTGAATGGCTTAGTATATGTTTTTTAAGGTTTTGCTATATATAACATAACAAATGTGGAAGCAATAGCTTGACTTTTGGATCGTGGGTTGATATTACAACAAGGACCATGTCCCTTGAATTTACTACATACTGTAAATGTCAAACTGAGGATATCTTTAAAAAAAAAAAAATGGAATAACAAAACCGGGAAAAACTGGAACAAGCAGCTCTTCCCACTACCACTTCACAACTTTGAATACTACAGCTAGCAACCTGTTGGCCTAGCTTAGCTTATCTTAGCACACAGTCTGGAAACAGAAACAGCATGGCTCAAGGTCCAAAAATAACAATATATGTCTAAAGCTCAACCTAACCCAAACACTTAATAGTATGTTACGGATAACAACAATTTGTTTTTTTTAAGGTGCTTATGTGAAATTTGGTAAGCTTACATTTGGACAAACAAATAAAGCTTGTATTACGCTAAGCTAACAAGCTCTTGAATGTAGCTTCATATTTACTGGCAGGAAATCAAACTTCTCATCTAACTCTCCCGAAAAAAAAAGCATCAGCCATACTTCCCACAAACACAAACAAATTATTTTTCTTTGAGTGACTAATGTTTCATTTGAGAGTAAAATAAGTCAGCACTTTGTAGCCCATCTCCAGCAGCCCATTAACGCTTATCAGGAATAGACTTTTTATTCCTGATGCTGGTGTCAAACTGACAGAGAAGCACAGTATCTTCTATTTCTTTCATGTAGGCCACTGTATTTCATTGAATAGGTCAAATGACTCATCCACACTACATTCAACTGAGTTCACGAAACAATGAGGAAGAAAATCATTAAATCCATGCCATTTGGTATTATCGTCATGGTTAAAGGAAATCTGAATGTGGAGGCCATCAAATCCTTAGTCAGGACCGGCCACTAGCATAACCACAATAAGCAGTTATTTAGGGGGCCACTGCGTTAGTGTTAATGAGAGTCTAGCTTTCTATATGTGGCAGCAGTTATACTCATTTGAGGCCAGTCATACATGTTACTATTACAAACCATCACTTCAAAACATTGGTGCATGATAGAAAAATCGTGTGTCAGTTCCGCCCCACATGCTCTGAATGCATTTCATGTGAGTGTAAGAGATGCCCAGCTGAGAGGCTGTATCACGCAGAGATAGCAGAGTGTCGTCTTCAGTATTAAAAAATATTACCAAAATTGATGCCAACATTCATTAAGAATTGTGGTGAGCATTAAAGAACGCTGCATTTCTAAGTAGCAGGACAATGTCATGACATGTACGGAAAATTAGACTGCCTCAGCCTTATACATTTTCATTTTGTCTTTTAACACTCTAAACTTTCCCCTGAGACATGCTTTAAAATGTGATGCCCTGGAACTCCCTGCAGTAATTTGATCAAGCATATAGCTTTTTCCTTATTATCAGTGGCGTTTCTATATGTACAAAAGTGATGGGGCACAAAAAACTTAGATGTCTATATACAGGGCTGCACATAACTGGTGCGCAGGTGCGCATGCGCACCGCCGCCAAAAAAAGAGCACCGGGTCATTTGAAAAAGGAGCATTTGCGTACCAACATTGAGAGAGAGAGAGAGAGAGAGAGAGAGAGAGAGGAGAGAGGGAGAGAGAGAAGAGAGAGAAGGGAGAAGAGAAAAGAGAGAAGAGGAGAGAAAAGAGAGAAGAGAGAAGAGAGGAGAGAGGAGAGAGAGAAAGATATTTGCGAGTTGCATATTAACTGAGGGCCGGCCCGTAGCACTGGCGTTATAGATGTTTGCCTAGGGCGCCAGATCTGGGAGGGAAAAAACATTTTTGACTGTTGGGGCTCATCCTAATTTTCGGCCTTGATGTAACAATATTCATAATTAAGTAAATGTAACACCCTTTACACCCCGGTTACACGTTTCATTTGCCCTGTACAATGTATGAAAATGGGGGATGTTGGCTTATCTGGCACCCGCAGCTCACAGCCAAAGTGCGAGGGAGCGAGGGAGAGAGGGAGGGTGCACCGGTACCGGCGCTGTTGTTATTAGA